TGTCACCTGTGACTGATTTAAAGTACTTTACAAATAAAGTTACATAAATGTTTTGTGTGCAGCATAATTATTAATAGTTACACTATTTCAAAGTATGTTTACAGCCCACAAGGAGATTTTCCACATTAATATGATCTAAAAATCTACTACAGCACTATAAATAATATATAATATATATAATAATTATATATAATATAAATAGAACTGGGGCCTTTTTTAATTTTAGAAAATAAAATAATTTTACTAATCCATTTTTTTAATGAATTTAATATCTAAACATTTAATTGCTGCATTTAAAAAGTCATCTAAGAATCTGTGGCGTCAGGTAAGTTCTACAGATGTCAGAGCCAGAACAAGCTGTTTGCTCCGCACAGCGCAGAAATAAAGCTACAAATTGATTAACAAAGCATAATCAATTACTCTTAATAGAAATAATAATAAGAAAGATTTAAAATGACAGAGTTTTACATGGTTAACTGTCTACAGGGTGATTCAAATATTTAAATCAGCAAAACGATTACGTATCTCTAAAGCCTTAGGAGTTTTTGAACATGGTGCATATTTTATTAGTTAATTTGGTAATAATGCTTTGACTACATATCGATATTTCGTGTGAACTGACCTTAAATGTATGCAAAAGCATCAGGAAGCACGACGCTGCTACAAACACACTGCAAGAGGAGAATGTCAATAATGACCACAACAGTGTTTATTTTGGTGCTTTTTACATGTGTTTGTGTGGTGATCGTGTGAGGGTTACATCTAAGAAAACATACATAGAAAATAAGATGTGGACTGCTGACACAGAGGAGGAGGAGTGAGAACAACAAACACTGGAGAGGATTTTAAAGGGCATCTTGTAACTGAAAGTGTTTGAAGATAAAGTGCAAAGTGTACACTGGTGCTAAACGCCTAAAGTCACGCTGAAATGTTCTTTAAACTGTAAAAATATCGACTGTATTTCATTCATTTGATGCCGGACATTTTAAGGTTAAAAACTCACTGGATGATACAAATGAATGCGAGCCGTAAAAAGGACGTTTATGCCGTTGAACCGTGTTCAGGGTGAGCTGGGCTCCCAGTTATAAAGGCTAAGGCTGTGTTAGTGTACCCACTTTATTATTTGTTGTCATTTGTTGTCATTTTATGTTCGATGTAAACAAAAATCTTTTTCAAAAAGTGACCCAAACGTCTGTGGCAGTGTGACTCTGTGTTTCAGTGGGCGGTGTGTACAGGCGTGGTCGGCTTCGTCCTCCAAGAAGAACACGTCATAATCATACTGTTCAAATATTATTGCAGACATCTGGAAGTTACACAGTGTGAGAAGAATTCATCATCACTGCTGTTTGGATTCATCTCGTTTCTTTATTACATGCCGAGTTTCTTCTCTCTGTGTCTCTGTGAAGGTTCTCAGTCATCCAGGTCATCGTAGTCAAAGGAGCTTGCAAAGAAAAGCGTCTGGACTTCTTTAAGTTGCTTGAAGACGTTTCACCTTCA